AAGCGGTACATGTGCGATGTACAATAGCACACTCAGCGAGCAATTTTTCAATGACCTCGGACAAGAAGGTGCGGCCGCGGTCACTGAGGAGTTCTTGAGGGCCTCCATGACGCAACACAAAATGACGCAGTAGGAAAGTGGCAACCTCTTGTGCTGTAGCCGTTTGAAGAGCAGCGGTCTCAGCATAGCGCTTTAGGTGGTCGATAGCAACTATTATCCACCTGTTGCCAGTCGGAGTCAATGGAAGTGGCCCATAAATATCTATTCCAACCCGTTCGAAGGGTCGGGAAGGGCATGGTAAAGGCTGCAGTTCACCGGCGGAGGCGTGTGGTGAAGATTTTCGGCGCTGACATTCGGCACAAGAGCAGACGAAGTTGCGGACGAAGGTATACATACCATGCCAGTAGCAGCGATGTCGAAGCCTTTCGTAGGTCTTAAAGACTCCTGCGTGGCCACATTGTGGGTCAGCGTGGAAAGAGGAACAAATCTGCGACCTCAGGATTCGTGGAACGACGAGCAGCCACTTGCGTCCCTCTGGTGCGTAGTTGCGTCGATAGAGAAGCGTGTCACGTATCGAGAAGTGTGGAACTTGGCGCCGGAGCGTTCGCGTCTTTGGGAGTTCGGAAGTGTCCGAGAGATGATTGAGGAGAGACGCAGTCCACGGGTCATTGCGTTGTTCGATAGCAATGGTGTCAAAGTCAAGCGATGACAATGTGGAATCGCAAGCGGAGTCAGCTGCGGCATTCTGGGACAGGGGGGAACGGGAAAGGGCGTCGGCGTCAGCATGCTTCCGTCCTGACCGATAAACCACGCGTATGTCATAATCTTGAATTTTCAACGCCCAGCAAGCGAGGCGGCCAGATGGGTCTTTTAACGTCGAAAGCCAGCACAGCGCGTGGTGGTCGGTCACGATGTCAAAAGAACGACCATATAGATATGGGCGAAACTTTCCAAGGGCCCACACAATGGCGAAGCACTCCTTTTCTGTGAAGCTGTAGTTGCTCTCAGCCTTGGTAAGTGTGCGACTAGCGTATGCCACGACTTATTCCTGATGCTCCGGTTTACGCTGTGCGAGCACAGCACCCAGGCCTACACCACTGATGTCGGTGTGGATTTCAGTTGGAGCTTCAGGATCGAAATGGCGTAGAATGGGTGGCGTCGTGAGAAGCCGTCGCAAGGTGATGAAAGCCTCGTCGCAGGCAGGGGACCACGATAAGAGGTCTTTACAGTTGCTGAGAAGTTGCGTGAGAGGTGAAATAATAGACGCGAAGTTTCAGGCGAATCGCCGGAAATACAAACACAAGCCGATGAAACTTCGAAGTTCTTTAATGGTGGCAGGTTTAGGAAACGCCGTAACAGCTCGCAATTTCTCGGGATCTGGGAGGATGCCTTCCTTGGAAACAACGTGGCCCAAAATGTTCAGTTGACGCATGGCAAATCGACATTTTTTAGGTTTAATTGCAAACCGGCGTTAGTTAAGCAAGTAAGGACGTTCTGAAGGCGACGTGAGTGTGTGTCAAAGTTAGGGGCGAAGAGCACGATATCATCGAGGTAACACAAGCATATCTTTCATTTCAGTCCACGCAGGATGTTGTCCATCATTCGTTCGAACCTTGCAGGTGCATTGCAAAGTCCGAAGGGCATGACGGTGAATTCATATAAGCCGTCTGGCGTGACAAAAGCGGTTTTGGGGCGATCGGCCTCCACCATAGGGACCTGCCAGTAGCCTGACCGCAAGTCTAACGAGGAAAAGAACTCGGCACCCTGTAAACTGTCCAAAGCATCGTCAATGTGTGGTAGGAGATAGACATCCTTCAGCGTGATCTTGTTTAATCGCCGGAAATCGACACAGAAACGAATAGAACCGTCTTTCTTTTTGACGAGGACCACCGGAGACGCCCATGGGCTTTGTGAAGGTCGAATGACGCCTCTGCGAAGCATGTCGTCTATTTGGTCAGCAATGATGCGGCGTTCTGTAGCGGACACGCGATATGGTCGTTGTCGCAGCGGTGAGTGGGGCCCAGTGTCGATGTGGTGTTCTACTGCTAAGGCACGGCCGAGAGATGTTTGTTCAACGTCGAAAGAATGGCGGTAGCACTCAAGAATTGTTAGGAGTTGCGAACGCTGTGAAGATGTCAAATATACAGCTATGAATGGTTGAAATAGGTTCGCCGACGTTCAGTCAGCCGCTGAGACGACAGCCAGTTCACAGACGGAGGTAGAAGGCAGCTCATTGGGGACGGATGTAATTCTGGTAGAACTGATTGTCTCGACGTGGCCAAGGCACTCGTGACAAAGTAGGGATAAAGACAAAGGGTAGGGATAAAGACGACGACTCATGATTATACATTGACATTGTGGTTGAGCCTTCTACAAGGTCGAGAGCAGCAAAAGGCAAGGGGAGGGCTCTTCGGGCGACGAATATTGGAAATGGTGTGAAGAAGACCGTGCCGTCTGATATGGCGCTGCGTGAAACTGGTACGAACGCAAAAGAGCATGGAGGGATGCAGGTGTCATCGTTAACGACAAGTTTAGCGGCAGACTGGGTGTCGACGGACGCTTGGTCATCCAGTGAGCAAAATTCAACCTCAGTCCTAGCACAGTCGATTACGGCGTTATGACGCGACAAAAAGTCCCATCCCAAGATAATATTATGGGAGCACGATGAAAGAACCATGAACTCTATCGTATACAGAACGTCCTGAATTGTCACGCGGGCTGCACATACTGCGGTCGGTTGAACAGGTTGAGCACTGGCTGTGCGAAGCGATAATCCAGAGAAAGGCATTGTAACCTTACGAATTGAGCGGAAAAATCCAGCATCTATAACAGAAACAGCTGCACCGGTATGTACAAGAGCGACAGTAGGGATATTTTCGACGAACACATCAATAACATTAGTAGGTGACAAATGAGGACTTGGGCAAACCGAAACTTGCGCAGTTCTTGCCTCAGGAACTGCGTCGTCTAGTTTTCCTCCTCGTTAGGCGCGGGCCGTCAACGCATAGGAGAAGGCGAGCGGCGGCTTGGAGAGGGCGAGCGAAGACGTCCCGACCGAGGGCGGTGTTCGTCCTGGTAACGGGCTGGCATTGGAGTGGAGGAACCATATCGCGCGTTGGAGTCAAGCGGGAAGAAAGGCTCACGGCGGTTTTCATTGGCGATATGCGTCCGGCGGCGGCAATACCTTGCGACGTGTCCGGCGTATCAACAAGCGTAACATATCGGGCGATTGTAGAGGGTGCGCCACGGGTTGGCGGTGTTAGTGCTGGTCGAGTGAACTGGAGCTGGGGGATAGCTTCCGCGAGGCTGGAACGGAGGCGCAGGCGCCTTGCGAGTTGGCATGGCTGCAGCCGCGGCGTAGGTGAGAGGAGCAGCCACAAGATTAGGCTCGCGAGCAACTGGTAAGGCCTCGGCGACCTCTCCTTGAATGACGCCACGTAGAAACGATGGTAAAGTTGTGGTAGGTTCTGGTGTGAAAGGCACCAAGGAAAGCTGTCGTGCGACATCTTTGCAGACAGATGCTTTTATTTCGGCTATTAGTGACGCTTAGTCATGACCACTGATCACACTAGACAGCGATGCCAAATCGTGCGCTGGAGGACGTCTTGTCAGAGCTCGCTGCTTCCACAATTCATCGTAGCTTTGGCAGAGGTTAATTACGTCGTTAACAGTGGTCTGGCTTTTCGCCAAGAGCATTTGAAAAGCGTCGTCGTCAATCCCTTTGAGGATGTGCTTACATTTTTCAGCTTCCGTCATTGCGGCATTCACGCGTCTGCACAAATCGACGACGTCTTCTATGTAACTTGTGAAGGTTTCAATCGTTTCTTGTGGGCGTGTGTGTAAACGTTGCTCGGCACGAAGTTTTCGGATGGCAGGTCGATCGAAAACTGCTACAATCGACGTTTTAAATTGCGGCCATGTTCGGACGTCTGCCTCGTGGTAAAAGTTGACACCCGCGAGGTAAAACGACACGCGTGTCAACTTGTCCGCGTCCGTCTATCTGTTTAAAGCGCTCACCCGTTCGAAAGTCGAGAGCCAATCTTCAACGTCGTTGTCATTCGTTCCACTGAAGATTGGAGGCTCCCGCTGAGGAACACTGCCTGGACAGGTGGCCGGAAGAGATGGAAGCGTCTGCTGATCGGCGTCCGACATAGCAGAAGGTAGCCGTCGAGAACGAAGTTCCAGGATGGTAGCGAGAAGGTGTAAGGGACGGTACCCGGCACGGCTCCACCAATTATAAAGGAGATTTATTGAGCAGAAAGGTTGTTGCTTGGAAGGCTTGGAAGGCGATGCACCAGCCGCAATTTCCGAGCTCGAGCCACTGCCGCACGCTCGATGCTGCTGCCTCTGCGCCGGAGTACTTCCTCTTCTTTACAGTCCTTTTATGTCAAGGAATAATGAATAACTAATAGTGAGTTCTATAGGGAGAACAGGAGCACTGAAAAGCCCGCTGGAAGTTCTGTTTGGAGCCGGCATGTTTCAGTGGTCGAACTAAAGTCACTCAGTGGTAGAGTGAGAGCAGTTTTGTTGCACCGAGAGCAGCTATTTGTGCTTGAAAAGGCACGGTGGACAAGTGACCTTTGAATGATTCAACCGCCAAATTTCTTGTCAGCCGGCAAGCGCAGTGGCAGAGGTATCAACCACGTGTAGTTTGACACCGTTGTTGTTGGCCATATTAGCGACATTTGTACGAGTGGCGATGATGGTGTCGTGACGTCGGTTGAATGCACTGTTGCACAAATGTACTATATATGACTGCGAATGAGGGTAATGGCAAACAAATGACTGACAGATTTCACGCATATTTTGCTGCTGCCACACAGAGAATGCTGGGGATTTGAAATGTTTTGGTCATATGCTGTATTTCTCTGCTCTCGTCTCCCTCTCACCTGCTCTACGCATGTGTCACATTATAGTGGCTGGCCCTGCTGTCACTGCTCTCTTCCCCGACCTCACTACCCTTCTGCTTCTGTTCTCACAGTGAAATTTGCCATATGCAGGTATCGCGTGAACTTTTCCTGCCCGCCCGTGGAGCAAAAACTCAGGTAAGAAAAACTGGCACTTGTGTTATTGCAGTCTTTCACTTTGTCCCGTTTGTTTTACACTATTCGAACATGTTTTTAGTAAGTGTACTATTATCGACAACTATAGTTGCTTAAAACATACATTTTCAACTTCAGTGAGTGCAATCTTGCTTTCAGATTGCATTTAATTTTGGGCAGTCACACACTGTTGATGTACACAAGAAGCATGGTTTTATACACATGTCAGAGCATGGCCAAATATCAGTCTTCGACATGTTGGGGAGCTCATGTGCACACTCTGTTAGAAAAGCTTGCTAGAAATTTGTATATTCATTGAAGGAGTGAAATAGTTGCAGACATTTTTTTAGTGTGATTTGCATATTATCAGGGAAGTAGTGCCCTATACAGGGTGCCCCAGATAAGCCTAGCCAAAGTTTCAAAATATCAAAACATCCTTCATGAGCTTGCAACAATTAAATGTTACTGATTATTGCATGTAAAGCTGACTGGGCTAGTTGGTCGGGCATACTTAAAATTAACAGTGCAAAAAAAAAAAAACAAAAAAAAACAAGGCCACTGCATTCGCTTTCTAGATTTAAAGATTTCATTCTCGAAGGACCACACATGCTCTATTCCACACGTGTTATGAGCTCTATTCGCAGAAGCCTATTCTCTCGTTCTCGTCGAAGCATACCAACTGCTAGTAGTAAAGAGAGCCATCGTACAGTCATATTTCCAGAACACTTTAGGGAGGTCTTGCCAACATGTCTTGAAAGTTTGTCTCCTTGCACAATCGAAGCACCTAGGAAAATAAGCGTACCCACGCCCTTTGCTTAAGGGCAGTGACGGCAACGCAGAGCACTCCACTGTGGAAAAAACAGGACAGGGTATCGGTCATTCCGTACATGCACTCTGGGTCCCATCGCCTAAAGAAATTAGGACAATGCCTCAACCGTTTTCAGCGCCCCTGACAAGTTGTCCCAGTTGGCAAACAGGACCTGCCCTGTGAAGAAGCGTGGTAAACTGTGCCTAGTCAATCACAGGGCACAGTTTCTTTACTCTGTGCAGGGCATGGTGTACAGGATCTCATTGTTGTATGGTATGTGTTACATGGGCCAGATGCCTAAACAAATGCCTATGAGAGCGCGCCAGTAACGTTCGTAATGGGAAAAATGGCTTCCTCGTGTCACATGTGTGGGCGCACTCTGCAGTTTTGAATAACGTTTGGGAAAAGCACGCACGCATGATCTTTGAGGCTGCTTAGATGGTGCTTGAAAGGAGCATGTGCATGAGCAAGCCATCAGTTACAATGTCACACAGAGAGCTCTGCTTCTTGGAATGTGGGGTCTACACTGCAGGCGGCAGTGACTGTTGATATTTTTTGTGATTTCCTATTTTCGCTATCAGTTTTCCTGTTTTTTTGCTGTTTCTTTTTTACCTGTTTACTCGGCTATTTATAAGAACTTTCTTGTAAATGGAACTTCAGTTGAACGTCAGCGCTTGTCCAGTGTGTTTCCTGTCTGTGGCCATGTTTATTTCATGCTGTTAAGTATTGCATGCAGTCAGTATTTTTTGTTGTGCCTAATTTTGTAATTAGGAATACCTACTAATTAACTTTTGAAGCAACTAGCACGGGTGGAAATTCCAATTAAAAATTCCAATAAGGCTGTTTCAAACTGTTGTTTTTATGCTTAATTTGGGTGCCAATAGGTACCATCATTTCGAAGTGCCAACAGACTCGAAAAAAGTATCACGTGACATGCTCCTTAACATTCCGCGTACAAATGATATACTACTTTCCTCATGGCAGTTCTCGACAGTAATAAGTAGCTGATGAGAGTTGCAACGTGTGCTTGTTGGTGATGTGCTATTTCGAAAAATTTGATGAGCGCTAAGCGACGCACAGACCCGAGAAGGCACTGTATGGTGTCCACATGTGTGTGCCTTCTCATGTCCGTGTGTCTCTTCAAATTACATCGTCTTTTTAAAAGTAATAAGTGAATGCAGCACTTGTCACTTTTGCTGCTGCAAGCAACAAGTTAATTGCGCAGCCACCGCCCACCATTGCTGCCCTGTAGTTCTCTAGAGAGCAACACACATGGCCAAATGCTATGGTCATTTGCAGGCGGGAAGCACTGCAGTTATGGCGCGGGCAAGCCATGTTGTACTTATTTTTTCTTTGCATGACCATCTTAATCTGTTAGTGAATGACTCTCTACAGAAATTCTCAGTTTTGCGAGAAACAAAGTGCTTTCATTACATTCTTACCCTTCTTTAAGACGATGTTGAATATAGATTTGGGAGCAGGCTTGGAGAAAACGACAAAGTGCTTTCATCACATTCTTACCCTCCTTTAAGACGATGTGGAATGTAGATTTGGGTACAGGCTTGGGAAAATGAGATAAAGAAAAAATGAAGTGGAGGGACACTTTTGTTTGGGTTGACGGGTGTATACATGAAACTTAAGGCATGGCTATGCTGTGTTTTGTAGGAACTGTGTTTTGTGCACACTTGTGAAGTTGCAAGCCTTTATTCTCTGTTGGCTCTATCTATCTGTCCTGTCTCCTACTCTCTTCTGTTTACTTCCAAATTTCCTGGTGGCAAGGGTTAACCTTGTGTAGTTACCCAACCTGTGGTAGTTATATCTCGTTATAGCGGTGATGTATGACTGGCGCCTTCAAGTGTTCTACCTTGTAGCGTCCCCTTGTTGGGCTCGGTGGTGGGTGGTCACCATCGCCGCCGAACATGAAGTCCACCACATGGCAAAATCTTTCCCCCTCCTCAATGATCGGTCCCTGAAAAGGAACCGCACCGATGAAAGCTCCAAACGAACCGGAAGCGATTGTGAGCACTTCCCACGCTTCCTAGTCATACACTCTCTGGCAGATAACGTCTCTGTTGCAGGACTGTCGGTTTTCCTGATAGCTAAAACCCTTGCTAACTTAATAGGCAAAAAGTACGACGCAAAGAAACTGTCATCCGGTGATCTTCTTGTTGAAGTAAGCCAGAAAGAGCATGCAAACACTCTCCTTAAACAGAAGCAGTTTGCCCACCTGAATGTGTCTATTACCCCCCATCGCAGCCTTAACACTGTTCAAGGCGTCATTTCACAACGTGATCTGATGCGAGAAACTGAAGCTGACCTCCTTGAAGGCTTTCGAGAGCAAGGCGTAGTCGCCATCCGCCGGATAACCATCAGGCGAAACAATGAAGAAGTGGTGACGCCTCATATAGTACTTACATTCAACCGCTCCACTCTGCCAGAATCTGTGAAAGCTGCGTTCCTTCACTGCAAGGTCCGCCCCTACATACCCAACCCTAGAAGGTGCTACAAATGCCAGAAATATGAACATGGGTCGGATACCTGTCGCGGAAAACAAACATGTGCAAAATGTGGTGATCATGAGCACCCAACAGAGAGCTGTACTTCCACGCAAACAGAGTGCCCTAACTGTCACGGGCCGCACGCAGCGTACTCGCGGACATGTGAAATTTTCAAAAAGGAAAAGGAAATCATCCAGATTAAAGTAATGGAAAACATAACATACTCTGAAGCCCGGAAGAAGGTGTCACTCTTCTCCGGAAGAACGTACGCTGACGCAGCGCGCCGAGGGGCCGGGCGGCGTCTAGTGACGGTGGGCACGCAATACAGCTTTGCTGATGCGTGCACATCTCTGCCCCCCACCAAGCAGCCACAGGCTGCACCAACCTTTCACGTCCCGGAGGTCGAACTTCATCAGACCCCAGGGACCACACAGACAACTGAGACACCTGTCTCTTCTGACAAACCTCCATTAGCTTCTGAGGGTCCACCGGAGGCAATGGAAGTGACACCAGGATCCTCAGTGTCTAAGATGCTGACAGGAATCCTCCCAAGTGAGGCGGGGCTCCATAGATCGCCTCAGAGGGAAAAGACACCCGCCAGTTAAGCCTCCTAATAAAGGCAGTGAAGTGTGAATAAGTCCTGCTCTTTTCCTCATTCATAAAAATGGCTGCCGAAAATATTATCCAATGGAATTGCCGAGGCTTACTTAAGAACTTAGACGACATCTATGAAATATTTGCACAACACCAACCAAACATACTTTGCTTACAGGAAACACACCTAAAACCTACACACACTAGCCTTTTGAAAAGATATATGGTATACCGAAAGGACAGGAAGGGCACTTCCCATTCATCTGGTGGTGTCGCTATCGTGGTGCAGAAAGCAGTTCCGTCTCAAAGCCTCACTCTGGTTACTGACTTAGAAGCAGTGGCAATACGAACCCTAATTTTTGGACGAGTAACAACCGTGTGTTCACTATACATCCCTCCAGACCACCAACTCTCTACTAAAGAATTTGAAACGCTCATCGACCAGCTTCCGCATCCATTTCTGTTGGTCGGAGATTTTAACGCGCACCACCCTTTATGGGGTGTAGAAGAACGGATTCTCGAGGCTCCCTAATCGAAAACTTTCTGTTGTCCTCCGGCTCCTGTATATTTAATAAAAAAGAGCCAACATACTTTAACGCAGCGCACTACTCATACACAGCAATAGATCTTGCTATCGGATCTCCTTCACTCTTGGCAACCACTGAATGGGCTGTAATTCATAACCTCTATGGAAGTGATCATTTTCCTGTTTGTCTAAAATACAAAGGAAATACGGGTACATTGACTGTGAATGTAACCAGGTTTCGAGAACAGGGTGCGAACTGGACGAAATTCCGAAAACTCTCAAAACTATCGCGCTCATCGATTGAAACCCTAGGCATCGATGAATCTGAAGCGTTGGTCACACTGCACATTATACAGGCCGCAGAGCAATCCATCCCACATACATCTAACAATACACGGAACAAAAGACGACCTTGGTGGAACTCTGAGTGCAAAAATGCTCGTGACAATCAAAACAAAGCATGGTCGAAATTCCGCAGGTATCCTACAGTCGAAAACTTGGTGAATTTTAAGCGTGCAAAAGCAAACGGTAGACGTGTCCGACGAGAGTCTAAACGACAGAGCTGGCAATCCTTCCTCTCATCCGTGAACTCTTACACTGACACACATAAGGTCTATAACAGAGTAAGAGCACTCCAAGGGCACAGCACTCATTCGATGCCCCTTGTTAGTACTGCTGGTGATACACTTGAACACCAGGCAGATGCCTTAGGCCAACACTTCGAGTATATTTTCAGCTCAGCACATTATACAGACTCCTTTAGGCGATACAAACTTGCCGAGGAACGTAAACCGATTCGTGATGACAGGCCATCGGCGGGGGGGTACAATGCCCCCTTTACTATAGGTGAACTAAAGGCAGCACTGGCAAAGTGCGGCAGCTCAGCAGCTGGCTCGGACAGGATTACTTACGGCATGCTGAAACACTTACACGAAGAAACGCTTGACGTCATCCTCATTCTTTTCAACAGTGTATGGTCCTCTGGGCGTCTGCCCATGACCTGGAAAAAGGCAGTTATCATACCCATCCTTAAACAAGGAAAAGAAGCCACACTTGCTGCTAGTTACAGGCCTATAGCGCTGACCAGCTGTTTGGGCAAGGTGTTCGAAAAAATGGTGAATCGCCGCCTTGTGTATTACCTTGAATACAATGGCCTCCTTGATCGTCATCAAGCTGGATTCAGGTCTGGCCGGTCGACAACTGGCCAACTGGTAGCATTTGAATCCTATGTCAGGGATGCCTTCATTCATAAACAGCACTGCCTATCTGTATTTTTCGACTTAGAGAAAGCTTACGACACGACATGGCGTTATGGCATTCTCCGTGACCTGCGATCTTTTGGAGTGTCAGGAAACATGCTGAATACTACTGAAAGCTACCTTTCTGACCGTACATTTGTGGTTCGTGTTCGTAATGCCTTATCAAAGTGGTTTACGCAAGAAAATGGCGTCCCCCAGGGTGGTGTTCTTAGCTGCACACTATTCATCGTAAAAATGAACTCCATAAGCACCATTATGCCTAGAACAATCTCCTACTCTGTATATGTGGATGACATTCAGATCAGCTTCAAATCATGCAACCTAGCCACATGTGAACGTCAGATTCAGTTGGCAGTAAACAAGCTGTCAAGCTGGGCAGACAAAAATGGGTTTAAGTTTAACTGTGACAAGACTGTTTGCGTACTCTTCTCAAAACTACGTGGCATAAGGCCACCCCCCAATATTTCAATTAACAGACAAACCATAACTACCAAAAAAGATCACAAATTTTTAGGTGTTGTGGTTGATGAAAAGCTCAGCTTTGTTGCACATATCAAACAGCTACGACTTAAATGCTTGAAAGCCTTAAACCTGCTCAAGATTCTCTCACATCAGTCATGGGGCACAGACCGTGACTGTCTGCTGAACCTTCTCAACAGTGTAGTGCTATCACGTATCGATTACGGCTCGGTGGTTTACGAGTCAGCTTCAAGATCTGCATTGAAGATGCTTGACCCAGTGCACCATCTTGGGCTTCGGCTGGCCAGCGGTGCTTTCCGGACCAGCCCAACAGCCAGCCTGTATGTTGAGACAGACCGGTGGTCACTAGAACGGCGACGTCAGTTTACAAGTGTCACGTATGCCACCAAGGTGCTTTCCCATATCGACCACCCAGCTCGTGCGCTATTGCAGGATACATCGAACGCCCCCCTGTTTTTGAGGCGACCATCAGCTACGCCACCGTATCCCCTCAGAGTGGCCTCACACCTTGGAAATATGCACATACCGGTCTCCAGTCTTCAACTAACCTCTCACAAGGACACTGTTGTGCCATGGGAAATGCAGGCTATCGATTGTGACTTGTCATTCCTAGAGGTAGGAAAAAATGGCCACCCAGTCGCAATCGATCAACACTTCAAGTACCTGCAGGCCAAATACAGGTGTGCTGAATATTATACTGATGCCTCCAAGTCCTCCGCAGTCGCATGTGCGGCACACGGTCCCGCTTTCTCTGAATCTAGAACAATGAACAAACATACCAGTATATTTACTGCAGAATGCTATGGCATACTTTTAGCTGTAACGCACATTTTAAAGGAGAAAGAGCCAGCCTCGATCATATACACAGATTCTCTCAGTGCTGTGACTGCGCTGTCCTCCACTAAGATACTCAAAAACCCAGTTACTAATACACTTCGAAAATGCATCATGTCAGCCCGCAAATCTAAGCTCAAAATCATGCTATGCTGGATTCCGGGACACTGCAACATTGCTGGCAATGAGATAGCGGACAAACTTGCGAAGTCAGCAGCACTCCGCCCATCAGTTGACGTAAACACCATCCCGTATGAGGACCTGAGGCCACTCATCATATCCCAAATGCGTAGACAATGGCAAGAAGAATGGAATGCAGCAAACGCAAACAAACTGCACTTAGTAAAGCCAAGAATAGGAAGATATCTGACTGAAAAACGTAATAGGCACCAAGAAGTTGCATTGTGCAGACTCAGGATCGGTCATACACATGCAACACACTCGCACCTTTTAAAGAATTCTCCAGCACCACATTGTGCAAAATGTGGTGATGAGCTGTCTGTCGTTCACGTTCTAATTACCTGTCCGTACCTCGAACCAGAAAGACTGTGTCACTTTTCAAAGCTGTACAAATGTCACATTCCGCCTCATCCACAATTTTTTCTTGGAGACGATCCCTTGTTTCCCCCAAAAGTAGTCCTAAAGTTTTTAGCTAGTGTAGGCTTCCTACATTCCATAACATATTCTCACTAATCTCAGCCTCTTCTCAATCCTGAGGGAACCGCTGAGACTTTTTTTTTATCAAATGTCATGCAGCACGCACTCCTTGTCTTGACAAGGACTGTTGACGACACGGCATGACTTTGTAAAACCCATAAGCGTAGCCCGTTTTAAACCCATCACTCATAGTCACTACACCTAAGTTTAAGTTCTATACACTACTCTTTTACTCTTGCCACCCTGAGTAGACTTTTAATAATCAAATCGACCAAAAACCGTGTGTTTGGCGCTCTTTGGCCTGCGTTGCCCTTGCGCCACTAAAATTTACCATCATCATCATATTCTCTGTTGGCTCCTGACAGAACCAGGAGATAAGAAGTCACAACACAGGGTGGGAACTGTTTCAACAAGTGTGACGCTTGTAGGGTGCATGAAATTCCATTAACTTGTGTGAAAATGTGGATCAGTCAGGTAAGCTGACGTATCAGTCTTTGTTTGCTTAAGTTCGGGGTTTTCTGGAACTCTGCTGATTGTGCATGCCTGCCTAGCCACTGCCAAAGATGTCACTGCCAGCCGCTGTTCCGCAATGTGAAATAGCAATAGCTGCGAAGTGTTCAGAGTTAGAATGAGCATGAAATCTTGGAGGCATACTGCTATATCAGGCTCTAAAACAACCGTATCAGTAGACCATCGCCATACTTGCTGCAAAATGCTTTTTTTAAAGCTCTGCCGAAAATACTGATGCATATGATTTGAGTGTTCACTTGTTTTTTCTGTGTGAAAGGTGTAAGGCTACCTGAGAAACCATGAAGGGCAGTCACTTCTTGGGCAAGGGTTGAACTCTAGCATTGCCAAGTTTTTTTTGTGTTTTTTTCCTGACCATTAGTGGCACGTACACATCTGTGTTCCAGGCTCCGTTGCATTTGTTGCGGTTAGTGCCACGCAGTGACCTCTGGAATTTGGCAGGCGGCCCCGAGCGGCTTCACGAACTGGTGTTCTTTGTGCGCCAGAACATGGTGCGCCGCACCGCTTATGTGCTGCCTTGTCTCGAGTGAGTGTGTGGGCCTTCCACAGAAGTCGTGCTTAGGGGCTTCTCTATCATTTCTTTGCCCATATGCAACCACTGAATGCATATCTTAGTTTCCTGCAGGCACAGGATACCAATGTAGAAACTTCATTATAGCATCTCTTATTTACTTCATTACCCACAGTGCCAATGCGCATTGCAGTAAGGGAGGGTATACAAAATGTGGATTACAAAAGAAGATACATTGCCAGCCAAACAAAGTCGACAACTAATCACCATCAGCAACACAAATACATGTAAGAAAACAAATAGAGAAAAACAGCAAAAAAGTCATTCTATCAGAAAAAAAAAAACATTTGACATAATAAAGCAATGTTTGAAGGCTACTGTTTCCACTCTCAGATTGTTTTTGGGAAAAAAAAAACGCTTTGAACTACATCATCCTTGCATGAAATTTCTCTCGTATTTTGAACATATGATGGATGCAGTCTGAGAGGTAGTGTGGTGCAAGTAATATCTGGCCTTATGAATTCCGACACGGCAATGATAGACCTCATGAAAGAACTTCAAACACAATTCATGTAGACAATTGCATAGGTAATCTCGATCTAATCATATGTATGTATCTATTGTAATTGTCTTAGCGTGTTTTGCTGTGTTTCATTCTATGTCTATCAATGTCTTTTTTAATCTATATTTTTTCTATTGTAATGTTGAATTTGCCATATCTTGATAGACTTTTATTCAGCCAAATTTACTGGCCAAGCATTTTGACCGACTGATCGCACAGGCGGTCGAAATGCTCGGCCTGTAAATTTGGCTGAATAAAAGTCTATTACTACTACTACTTGTTTATTACTGTTTTATTCCCCCACTCACACAATGTTCCAAACATAGGAACCCGTGAGGTATTTGTATAATCTTTCTTTCAAACTTAACCAACCAGCTGGACCCTTTTCAATTTATGAATGCCTTGATTGACTTGTGGGTCCCAAAGTGTGCAGGCATATTCAAGAATAGGTATTTGTCTTGTACAATAGCTTTTTAGTAAGAATAGAAAAATATTTTGCATTCCATAGTGAAATTCCCAGCTTTTGCTATAACATGATCAAACTGTTTCTGCCACGTTAGCTACACTATAAGACAAGTGCCAAGACATTTGTATTCAGATACTATTCATAGGATAATTGCTAACATGGAGATTCTTCTTCCTGGTGTAAACTGTTTCTTCCTGGTGTAAACTGTTGCATACCATATGTTGGAGTGATCAATGGTTCTTACTTCACTCCGAAACACAGAATCGCCTGCCAATAAGCAAATTTGGGATTGGATACTATCAGTAATATCACAAAGATGCTTGAGGTACACCAGATGTGACATTTGGGATTGATTGAGCCCCGTTAACAATGAAAAACTGTTTTCGTGATGTGAAGTATGGCCTTATACCAAACAGTGGATGTATGTAGACTGCAGGTTTTCGACTAATGATGTATGGGGTATGGTTTCAGAAGTCCAGGAATGCACAATCTTCAGATGATTTTGCTATGGTGTACACTCTGTTGGCTGCACTGCAGGAAGTGGATACCCGGGTGTGGGCCACGGCTGCTCCGTGAAGGAGCCACGCGGGTCTTTGAGCGCATGGGTGATCTGAGCCCTGAGCGCATGCTGCGGCTCTTCCAGCTCTTCTCGGCACTGCCCGAGTACACCCAGTCTGCGTTCACCGCTGCAGTGGCCAGAGAGGGCTCCTGACACCTTCATCATGGGTGCATTCTGTGGACAAAGAGGAGTTTCAAGCTACACGCCTGTCTTGTCATATTCGCTCGTTGGTACGATAAAGTAGTGCAATAATTTATTGATATATCTTTCTCTGTATATGAGCTGTGTGGTTCAAGTCATCTGACTGACTATAGAATCTCTCCAACTCAAATAAAAAGGCGAGCAAAAGTATGATTGTTCTAAAGTTTGAAAGGGGCCCTGCAACTCTTTTTGAGGATGGTCAGAAAACGCTGCCGATCAATTGTAGCCATGATAGTAGCCATGATAGTAGCCATGGAGTGGGCACGGGAGCAGCGCATCAAGCATGATGCCTGATCTGCGTGTTTTTCCAATGCAGGCTGCGATTGCGCTGTTGGTGGTCTGGCTACCGGCTGTCTCTTCTGACTCGGCGTATTCGCATCTGCTCTGGCAGGTGCATTCTTCTGGCGTCAAAACCACAAGCAGTGGTATATTCTTCAATGCAACCTCATCGGCGAAGCTCGACCATCATCTGCCAACAGCATCGACAATGACATCGCTCCCCAGAAACCACAAAAGCAGCTTGCGGACCAACCTGTTCCTCAGTGGGCACGGGAGCAGCGCATCAAGCATGATGCCTGATCTGCGTGTTTTTCCAATGCAGGCTGCGCTTGAGCTGTTGGTGGTCTGGCTACCGGCTGTCTCTTCTGACTCGGCGTGTTCGCATCTGCTCTGGCAGGTGCATTCTTCTGGCGTCAAAACCACAAGCAGTGGTATATTCTTCAATGCAACCTCATCGGCGAAGCTCGACCATCATCTGCCAACAGCATCGACAATGACATCGCTCCCCAGGAAACCACAAAAGCAGCTTGCGGACCAACCTGTTCCTCAGTGGGCACGGGAGCAGCGCATCAAGCATGATGCCTGATCTGCGTGTTTTTCCAATGCAGGCTGCGCTTGAGCTGTTGGTGGTCTGGCTACCGGCTGTCTCTTCTGACTCGGCGTGTTCGCATCTGCTCTGGCAGGTGCATTCTTCTGGCGTCAAAACCACAAGCAGTGGTATATTCTTCAATGCAACCTCATCGGCGAAGCTCGACCATCATCTGCCAACAGCATCGACAATGACATCGCTCCCCGGAAACCACAAAAGCAGCTTGCGGACCAACCTGTTCCTCAGTGGGCACGGGAGCAGCGCATCAAGCATGATGCCTGATCTGCGTGTTTTTCCAATGCAGGTGTGTAGAAAATATTCTCTTTATGCTAAAAAATCGAATAATACCTGCCTTTTGCTGTTCCCGTGCCCACGGGTTTTGTTTGATACCATTTGTGACTGCTTTTCCATTGCCTTCCTATTATTGTGTTGTGGGGATATTGAAGCTAATCCTGGGCCAACAACGCGTTCTGAAGCGCTATTGCAACTTGAAACGCTACCCGAGAACCCCGCTGAACAAATGAGTGTGCTATTTCAGCTCCTTAAAGACGTTCATGCACGTTCTGTTCAAAGTTCGAAGAATCATGCTGATCTAGCTGCTGACGTAAAAACCATAAAAAACGGTCAAAAGGACGTCGAGACGAAAGTAAGCGGAATACTAAAAAGACTAGATAAACTAGAAAACAAATCCAAGATTGTCGAAAACTTCGAAAGTGAGCTATCAAGCATGCGTAGTAAGGTATCAGAAACTACTGCTCAAAACAGCTTGTTACAGGCTCGCCTGGACGAGCTTGAAGATAGGTCTCGACGTGACAATTTAATTTTTCATGGGTTTCCAGATGTCAAAGAATCTTGGGAAGAAACTGAAGCAAAGGTGGTCACTGAAATTACGTCCGTCATAGGGTCATTTTCGCCAAACTCGATTCATCGCGCACACCGACTAGGCTCATTTTCGCAAAACCGATGCCGTCCCATCATTGTAAAGTTTAGCGACATCAAAACTAAAGATAAAATATTGTCTGCACGCTCCCAATTTAAAATAAAAGACATAGGCATTAGCGAAGACTTCTCGCCCGCTATGCGCATCATCCGAAAAAAGCTCACTGATTTCGCAAAAAATCTGCCAGAATCCCCCCAATTTAACTTACGTTACAACAAGCTATATGTTAACAAAAAATGCTACATGTTTGATACTAACGCTGGACAGGTTATTGAAGTAGAACGGCCTGGTCGAGGTTTCGAAAGTAACATCCAGGCACGTGTCCCTTCCTAGGAACGCGCGAGGGGTAGTGGCCCTAAATCTAACCCAAGGATCTCTGTTCTGTTCACGAACATAAGAAGCCTTCTTAACAAATATGATTCTTTATCTTCCGCAATAGATACCTGCGATGCACAAATAATTGTGCTAACCGAAACGTGGCTCCGTGCGCATGTACAGGACTCAGAAATTTTTAATCAAGCGAGTCATTTTGCAATTTATCGTTGTGATCGAACTGCGCATCGGGGTGGCGGTATTCTGTTAGCGATATCCAAAAACATATCTTCTTCTTGCATACACATTACCACCACTCTTGAAACTATCTGGGCTTTGCTCACTATTGGCCATCAAAAAATCGTCCTAGGCGCATGCTATCGTTCCCCTTCGTCGTCCTCAACATTTGTTAACGAACTCCACGACGTTATGAACCACATCGTAACACGTTTCCCCAGTTATCCCTTATTTTTACTCGGCGACTTTAACTTTCCGAACATAAATTGGACTACACAACCAGCTTCCATTTCTCCTTTTTCGACACAAGCTTCTGAGTTTTTTAACTTTTGCTCTATCTTTTCTTTAACGCAATTAGTAGATCATTCAACTAGAATATCATCTCACGCAGCTAACACTCTTGACTTAATCCTAACTACGCGGCCCGATTTTATTTCCGACATAACGTACTTGCCCGGAATCAGCGATCATTCTCTTCTCAGTTTTTCTTTTAATGCATCATTCCCAAAAGTTTCAAACAACAAAAAAGTAATTCGTGACTACAAAAAGGCGAACTTTCAGGCTATTAATCACGAGTTATCCATCTTTCTTGATACTTTTTTGGCAAACTTCGATGATCATTCTGTTCAAACTAACTGGGATATATTTGCGTGTAAAGTTTACGATCTAACAGAAAAATTCATACCGAAACGCACTATCACGTGTAATCAGCGCGCCCCGTGGTACAACGCCCACTTGAAAAGGCTGTCTAACTGTAAGAAGCGCCTTTATCGTTCTGCCAGGAAATCGCCAACTGATTCTCGATGGGAAGCTTACAGATTAGCATGGAACGCTTACATATCTGCACTAAAAGCTGCTAAATCTTCATTTTTATCCCAAACCTTGCCATCCATGCTTAATAATAACGTTAGAAAGTTTTGGAAAGTCATAAATCCGCCACATGATAACAGTATTTACTTAGAAGACGCATCGGGCAATTCCATTTCCTTGAGTGATTGCGCGGCTGTGCTCAATGATACATTCACGAAAAACTTTTCTGTTCCTTCTACAATTAATGCTCCTAGCGTGCAGACATATAATTTTCCTGTAATGTCCTCCATCTGTATCGAAGCGCCAGGTGTGGCTAAGTTGATTGCTGGACTTAAATACCATTCTTCACCAGGTTACGATTTAATAGACTCGAAGTTTTTGAAGAATACAAGTTCATTTAGTTCTATTATTTTAACAAAAATATTCCAGCAATCACTTGACACATCTACGCTACCCATACAATGGAAAATAGGTAAGGTGGTTCCACTCTTCAAATCTGGCCAAAAAACATCCCCCGCAAATTACCGCCCTATATCTTTAACTAGTACCTGCTGTAAATTACTGGAACATATCATATTCTCACATCTAGTCAATTTCCTTGAATCAAATTCATTTTTTACATCTGCACAGCACGGTTTTCGCAAATCGCTCTCATGCGAAACACAGTTAATATCTTTTACTCACAAGCTACATCGCATTTTAGACCAATCATCAAAAGCTGACTGTGTTTATTTAGACTTTTCCAAAGCCTTTGACAAGGTATGTCACAAGCTGCTACTACTCAAACTAAGCAAACTCTAACTTGAAGACACCATAATGAAGTGGATTGTATGTTTCCTTAAAAATCGCTCGCAATTTGTTTCAGCTAATAATCATAACTCTTCACTCAGCCAGGTTTCCTCTGGTGTCCCCCAGGGATCTGTTCTTGGACCTCTTTTGTTTCTTATTTACATTAACGATCTGCCTTCTCTTATATCCTCTAATGTTCATTTGTTTGCCGACGACTGCATAATTTTTCGGGAAATAACTGCTGACAACGACTCCTACTCTCTCCAATCAGATCTAACTAGTGTAAGCAACTGGTGCAAAGAATGGTTAATGGAACTTAATGTCACTAAATGTAAAGTAATGCGTGTATCGAGAACTACTAGTTGTATGCCTATATATTACCTGAACAATACACCACTTGAAATCGTTTCCTCTTACAAGTACTTAGGTGTTCATATTACCAACAATTTAACTTGGACGAAACACATCGAATACATTATTAACAAGGCAAACCGCATGCTAGGTTATTTACGTCGAAACTTTTTTTCAGCCCCGTCTTCTTTAAAACTTCTTCTATACAAAACACTAATCAGATCAAAACTAGAGTACGCAACACCAGTATGGGATTCTTGCCACGACAACTTACTCACCGCACTTGAACTTGTTCAGAATAATTCAGCCCGTTTCATTCTATCAAATTACAATAGAACGGCAAGTGTAACGGCAATGAAAAGTAGTATTGACCTCCCATCTTTAGCATCACGACGTCGCATTTTTCGCCTAACTTTATTTCATAAGGTTTATTACCATGCTTCTCTCCATGCTGAACTGCTTTCACAACCTCAGTACATATCATGTCGAATTGACCATAATCATAAAGTTGGAGTTGTTTCATCTAACACTAAATATTTTGCTGAGTCTTTCATTCCAAAAACATCCCGAGAGTGGAACCACCTTCCCGCCGATGTTGTTTCCATACGCGTTAATCACCTGTTTCATCAAGCATTAGCTAATATTGTATAATCAGGATAATCTACGTTTTTTCTATTTAAACACATGCTCTGTTTTTTCTGTTTTGTACATCTTGTTACTCCTACTCCCCTCTTCAATGCCCATGGCCTTGAGGGTATAATAAATAAATTATGAAGGTCTCAGGAGCCCTCTCTAGCCACTGCAGCGGTGAACGCAGGCTGCCAAGAAAACCCAAGCGAAATT